TTTTAATTTAAAATTAAAAATTAAAAATAAATTAGCTTAAAAATACAATCATATATACAAAATGTAAGAATTAGTTGAATTAACTGTATTGATATTATATTTTAATAGTTAAAATTAAACGAGTATTGAAATATGTGTTGAATCTGAAAGTATTAATTATTTTTCATTTTAATTTCATCTCTTTTAAATTTATTTGTAACAATAATATATGTATCCTTATTCATTAAGAGTAAAAGGAGTACCCCCATTATTTGACTACATCATATTTAATGGTTAAAATTTATTTATTTTTTTATCATATTTATTAAATATAATTATTTTTTAATCAAAAAATTTGTAATAAATTTCAATAATTGAAAGTAGAGAAATAAATTATTAAACTTTTGTGTAAATAAAATGTATAAAACTTGTGTATCAATAAATTCATGTTCTGTATTTATTATATTTTATCGTATTAATTTATTATACTTTCTTTTGTATTAATTTACATAATAAAAAAATGAAAGTTGATTTTCCATCAGTTTATTTTTAATAGATCTAATTTTTTTATTCAATAAAATAGAGATGTAATAATTTATGGATAAAGTTTCATATTTAATTTTAATTAAGTATTATTTAAATAAGATTTTTTTATTTAATATATATTATAATTATATTTAAAAATAAAATAAAATAAACATATTAAATAATACTTTAAAATAACAATTAAATTTAAATATGTCAATTAAGGAATTAGTTCTATTACACTTGAACATAAGGAGAGTTAATTTTAGATCTTTAACATATGTATGCTTCCTACTCGATCAGACGTGGCTATGGCAACTCTAGTCCTACCGATCAACGTTGACGAGTTTGACGAGCGTTCAACGATATTCGGAGTTTGTAGCTTTTTGTTATATATGTGGAATTTAATTTGTAAAATAAATATTAGAATATAAATAAATTTATTTATAAATTATAAAATAAAAATTATTAAGTATATGAGAGAGTTTTAACATTAAAGAACCTAATTAATTTTTCATTTAATAATTAATATATTGTAATTTAATGCAATTTAAATTACATTATATTTTTAAATAAATAAGTAAAGTTATTTTTTTTATGAGATATAAATAGGGAATTGTTTTTGATGGGAGGAAATAAATAGAGAATTAAGTAACGATAATAGAGTTGAGACAGAAGAACAAAACAAGAAGAACGACGAAGATCATCGAGTACATGCATGACTCTCATTGTTTAGTCATTTCAGAGATGCAAGGGATGGCCCACTGGTCCCCACGCCCTTCAGAAGATGACCTTTCTCTGTTTCCGAGTTGAAGCGCTTGCGTTGCACCGAGTCCAACTCGGTCCCCCAACGTCAAACTTTGTGTGTTGTGTGTTAATTATAGGGCTTCAAGGGTTGCTTGTGAACTGGTTCAACCTGATAGCTGAGCGGGGAGCCAACGGATGCGAATTTCGCTAGTTCTTGTGGTAGAAATGGATGGCCTGAGTCATTTCCCATGCCGAGGAAGTCTCGGGTCAGATTAAGATCCATGGAGTTCGAACTTGGAACTTTTAACTGAGTTGGGTCGGCGGCTGGTTTTACTCCTGCTGCTTGCTGCATCCGGTCAAGGTTTCTGGCCAAGTTCGAGCTACCTGCACCAGTATCACTCACGGCTACATTTTGATACACCTGATGAGAAGAACTGGTGGGTGATGAGCTCATTAACCCGAAACTGTTGCCAAAGAAGGATGGGTTGCTTCTTGTAGACCCCATCTGGGCCGCCTTTTGGAGCAGGGCGGTGGCGGAGAGAAGTGCTGGAGCAGGTTTTGACTGTTTGTTTTGAGAAGGGTCAGAAGGATAAAAAGAAGAGAGGCTTTCCACCAGATTTCCTTTACTCCCTCCTGCTTCTTCCTTTAACGTTTGTGGCAAAGGTGATAAGGAGAGATTCGCACTCGTTGAAGTTGCACCACTCTTTTCAAATCCAGTAAAGTGACTGTGGCTTCCAAAATTAGCCCAAGAAGTTGAGCCAAAAATATTGGCTGTTTGCAGCTGGACAATCTCAGATAAGCCTGCATAATAAATATTCAATTAATAATATCCAAATTAAGACTAAACTTAGTTAGTACCACTCCATCTCTTTAGAGAAAAAAAGAAAAAGAAAGAAATGAAAGGTCACAATAATATATCAACACAAATTCCAAATATAAATAAGGTTGAGAGGTCAAACATCTATACCAACGAAATACAAAGAAATAAAAAACCAATACCAGATTTTCCATGCTTACCTGCAGTGGCCATGGGAACGAAATCTTGTCCGAATCCGGAACTGAATTGGGAAATTCCTGGAACATCATGAAGTCCTCTACTAGGAAACCCATGAGGAAGATTTACGGTATCATTTCTGAAATTAAGATTGGTAGATGCAACCGAATTGATTCTTGAACTTTCTTCAGCTAAAGCATCACAAAATGCTCTGTGCGTAATAAAACTATCTTTCCTGCATTCAAATCAAAGAAATCCCAAATTCAATAGTTGAAACGTAATCATTTTGTAGCAACAAATTTCGATCAACCTCAGAAATTGAAGCATTTATTTCTCTGATACATCCATATACACCTGGCAAATAATGTTCCACAGTCGCACTTATATTCTCTGGTGCCACAGGTCTTGGAATGAGCTTTCCAGTCAGACTGAACAGCGTATTTCTTAGAACACTTCTCGCACTTCCACTTCTTCTCTCCATGTTTTCTGCTGAAATGCTTCTTTATCCCGGTGAGGTCGCCAAGAGCCCTGGACGGATCGTGGTGAACGCAGGTCTTCTCTGGGCAGATGTAGACCTTTTTCCGGACCTCTTTGTTGGTTCTTTGCCTGAGTTTCCATGGAAGATTATGACCCCGTCGGTGGAGCTGCAAGTTCTGGTCTCTTTGGAACCCTTTATTGCATATTTCACAGATAAATCTGTTTGTTGCCATGAGAGTCTTGGGAGATAAAGCAATAACCTCTGCATCTGGATCTGTCAACAGAGAGATATACACATGAACACAACAACAAATTCTTTGCCGTTAAAGGGTTAGGATTCAAATCACTACAATAGCTAAACTGTAAGGAACTAAATAAAGATTAGTCTACGGTCTACCTACCAGGTGTTCCAGGAAGATTTCTCTTCTTCTTCACCTTATTAGGGTTAGGGTTTGTGATGCTTTGTTCTTGAACGAACCCACCAATTGAAGCTGCAGAAGTAGAAGAAGGCATCGAAAACCCATCTCCAGACATCCCTATGAGGACTGAAGACGGACTATTTAGTAAATTAGTTGCAAGAAAACAAGGAAAGATATGAAGCTAGGTAGTACAAACAAAAGAAACAGGGATTTCTCCAAACAGAAGAAGATAAGTCTTTGGTATATTTCAAATACAGACGACTTAGCTCTCCGGCCGATTCTATGCCAAAAGACAAGAAAAACCAAAACTAAGCTTAAATCTAAAGCATCTCACAAAAACTATATATAGTCCAAAACCAAAACCCTCATACTCATCTTCTCTCTCACAGCAGAGGCTGATTTAGGTGTTTATTTTTTACCCTTGCTTGATTTCAAGAGAGCAGAAAACACCAAAACCCATGGTGCCTTAAAAGAGAATATCTCTATATCTTTTTCTAAGTACCCCACACACTCTCTCCTACTTTTAGCCTAGCTTGCTTGGCCTTAATTAAATGCATTTCACATTATTAATTATTTCCTCTACTGCATATTTTCAAGGTCGGTCGCTTTTGATATCTCATCAGGTACAATTGTTTTGGGAGGAGGTATTTATTTAGATATAAGTTTTATTTATTATATTTATATAAAATTTTAATTATTTTTATTTTTATTTTTAATAGTTGAGATTTATTTTAATTTTTAGATAAAAATATGATTATTTTTAATAAAGATGAATAAATTTTAACTATTAAAAGTAAATAAATAAATAATTAAAATTTTATATAAGTATAGTATATAATATTTATATGTAAATATATCTCTATTCTTGTTTTATATATGGACAATGATTGATACATCATCCAGTTCAACACATCTAATAACACCTATAAGTTCAATCATTAAAAAAATAATAATTTCAAATTTGAATTTAATGTGAAAAAATTTTCGAATGCAAATTTTAATAACTAAACCAATTGGTGTTATTAAATGTGGTAAATCAAAAGAGTGTACTAATTATTTTCCTTTATATATATATTAAAATTTTAGTTACTTGATATTACAAAGAGTTTTTTTAATATATGTTTTAAGAGTACAAATTACAAATATAATCACTACATAATTTTACATTAATAATATTTAAAAAAATTACAAAAGATGACATTAATAATTACACCTCAACACCTTGTGAATGATTTTAATTGAATAATTAACTAAAAAAATGTGAACTTTTATTTTTTAATACTAATTAATTAATATAAAAAATGAAATAATTGCACATTTAGCCTATTACAAATATAGAAGGGAAATATTTGGTATACCTTTCGGTTCAACAATTGATTCAATATCTTCTGGTTTAATTATTAAAAATATAATAGAAATACAGTCAATTCAGTCGGTTCCCGTATCCTGTGTGCAGAATGGAATAATAAAACTGGCCGGTTTTAAATTCAAAACAAAAAAGAATAATTTTTTAATGACTAAACCAGAGAGTGTTGAACCAAGTAATGAAATATAGGGTATACAAATTACTGTACAATATAGAAATTTATCTTTGACTTTCACTTTAAATAAAAAATTTTAAATTAGTAGTCACCCAGAATTATCTGTGTTTTACTTAGGATTGTTTTCTTGTGTATTTCACCATTTCAAAGCTGTGAACTCGTGCTTCTTTTATAAAAAGGCCAAAATGGTGTTTTAACCCTTATACTTTTTGGACTTATTAAAATGAACTCCTTTACTCTTTTTTTATAAAAAATTTATCAACCCATGTAGTTTCATGTAGAAATAAATTGCCCTACGTACTTTTATATTAAAATAAATCAATCCAAATTTGATAGATAACATCATGACACATCAAAATTTCACGAAACTCATTGTATATGTACTGAGGTTTTGATGACTTAGTGTACATAGGCCCTATTTATATGACATGGAAAAAAAAAATTTTGGTGAAAATTGATGACATGGAACATTTCATATAGTCAACAATTTTCTTTGCAATGTTATTGAATAATGTTCAAATCAATAGGAAAAATTTTCATGTCACATAAACCGGTTCCACATATGTCAAATCATTAAGACCTTAATGCCTTTTTTTATTTTTACAATAATATATAATTTTATTCATTTAGAGTATAAGGGGTATTCTAACCCATTCATCGATTACATTCTTTGTCACATACTAATAACTATACCCCTCCACAACCCCTCTTTCTTTGCCACATTTTTCTCATTTACCTTATTTCATGCATTCCTTTGGATTTATCATTCAATCTGTAAGTGAGATCGCCCAGCCCTTATTTTTAGCTTTTATCCATTCTTGTGATCTAATTTGGATATATAATTTCAAACACCCTTACAATTTCTAGTTTTTTCTCCTTGCGCAACCATGATTGATATACCCTTTGATTCAACACATTTTATAACACAATTATTAAGAAATTATTATTTTCAAATTTGAATTCAAGACAAGAAAAAATTCACTTGTAAAATTTAATAATTGAACCGATGAGTGTCAGTAAATATGTTGAACCAGAGGGTGTATCAATCACTACCCTTCCTTGAATACACAATTGTTTTTGGACAACCATAAGGACCAAACACAAGCAAACCATATTACTTCCCACCCTTCTCTTATTTACTCATCTGAAAAGAAGCCTAGATGTTAATGAAATGCTTCCCAACAACTCCCTACCTAGCATGATTGGACTCCCCACCAGTTCAAACACATACCCCAAATACTATATGCATATTTACAGTGTAGGAACAAATGGGTAGCAGTCTCATCCTCTTTTCCACACAAGTTGCAAGTAGTCAGATTATAGCTCCTCAATACCCCCTTTAAAATAACTCAATTTTGGTTGGGATTTTATTTTGAATCAATTGCCAAACTAATGCACTAACCTTGCTTGAGACCGTTGTATTCCAAACTTTCTTGTAAATTTCCAATTTAGGTCCATTGTGTGATGATGTTAGAAGTTGATAAGCTACGTTTGCAGAGTAGCCATCTTTTGTGCCAATCCTCCATTCTCATTAATCCTATTTTCCTTATATGAGTTGCACTCCAAATATGATGTATCATGATCTCATCTATTAAATATAAGTTAACTTACTTCAATTGAAAAGTATATGGGACGATTTATTTCAACATGAAAGTATGTAGGTTAATAATTTTTTTTTAAAAGTAAAGGGATTCATTTCAATAAACCCAAAAAATACAAGGGCTAAAATACCCTTTTTTTCCTTTTTAAAATTAAATCTTTGAATTTGAGAATATAGGTTTTGAATTTGAAAGTTTTTAAAATTTTTTAAACATATTTTGAATCACAAAACCAATGCTCTGTTTGTATGTCTTTTCTTATTGTGTATAAAGAATTAATTAAGAATATGACAATTATTTTTGTGTTTAATTTATATTTTTAATAATACTCTTAATTTTTTTAGTATTAAACTCTCCGACAACTAAAAATCTTATTACATCTTAACTAATCTAGAATTGAATCATGTCGAATCTTATAAGAGAAGAAGCTTTTCTAATATTTATCTTTCTTTTCACTAGACTCAAATTTAATATTTTATTTAAGGAAACCATCATAAGACTTTCTCTTTATAGTACTCAAATTTCATTTTTTTTTTAAATCAAGTTCTTTTTATTTGAACTAATAAGTTATTGATAATTATACTCTTAATTATTTTTAAAAGAAATATAAAAGAAAAGATATTAATAAAGTAAATCATTAAATGTGATTTTTATTTGTAAGGTTGGAATAAACGATAAAAGGATTGATATCCTTTGAAATTATAAAAATAATAATTGATTTAATAAAAATTTTGTCAAAATTATGGTTGGATGAGGGGATATTTTTTTGTTGAGGTTACACCTAGAAAGTTTTTTGGAAGTTTGTAAAATGGTTGAGAGTAGCTAGGCTAGTTTTGGGTTTAACTAGAATTAGTAGGTTTGTAGCCAATGGTTGAAGTTATTGGTCTAGTAGGTTAGGTTTATACTTGTCTAAGTCTTTTAATCAATACTTATAAAAAAAATAATTTTTTTAAATGGGCTAAATTGATTTGTGAGCATGCTGGTAAAATTCTTAGAAGAGGTATTAATTTTAAAATATATAAAATTAAATTAACTCAAAAACATTTTGGACCGTCATCAAAAGATTACTAGGTCTACACAAAGTTGAAAAGAATTTTTTTTCAAGAAAAGAAGAGAGAAATTAATGCAAGATGTAGGTGAAAAGAAGATAGGTTAGACGGGATAGTTTTACTAGGGATGGGTCAAAAAAATCTGAAATTTGAAAAGAAGTTTAAAAATTAACGGAATCGTACTTGATAGGTAGGATTTCACTGTGTTTTGAATTTATTTAATTAAAAATTGAATTAAATTTATTTTAAACTGTTTAAGTTTTAATTATTAAATTAAAAAATTAAAAATTGATGATAAAAATAATAATAACTAAAAATTTAAATAAAAAACTTTTTATATAACTGAAAAATTTTTAAAAGTTTTCTAATTACTTTTTACTGAATTGTTTATTTATTTAGATAATTTTTTAATT